ATCTTAAAAATCACCGCCCCATTCAGCAATTCCTTAAAATTTATTTTCAATTTCACTGAATGGAGGCTTTTTTTCTGGGTAATTTTAATTTATTTATTTTCATATAATTTCATCCTAATTTCATTTTTTTTGGTTTTTGTAAAGATAGTGTATTTGGGTTTTTCATCAGATTCTTCAGTAACCTATATGTACAGTTTTTGTAAATCTTAAACTTTTTTTTATATCTTCTTGACTAATTTTTATGATAAAATTTTCTTACTTTTTGCATTGTAATTGGAAATTTTTTCTTCTTAATTTCATTCTCTGCTTAATATTAATCTCAATACGATTAATTATTGCTTCTCGAATTGTTTTTATTTTTTTGGGGATGTATGTGGGGTGTGTGTTTATGTAAGTTGTGTGTTTATCGAGGAATTTGGAGTGTTTTGATGTAATTTTTTGGTAGTTTGAGATTATTTTAGGTTATTAAGGCTCTGAATTGTAAGTTGATTGACTTACTAATTTTTAAATCATTCAAACTACAACTCTTAATCTTAATAAACCAACTAAACCCTTCTAACCTCCTCCAAAAATCTTTAAGTAAGTGTGTAGAGTGGAAAAGTGTATGTATCGCGTTACTTAATGAGTTTTATGAGTATGCTAGTCCTGTAATATGTATTTGATGCTTAAATTGAAATTTATTGATGTTTAATAGTAGTTTTATCTGCGTTCTGACTCCTTTCGTGATTCGATTTTAATCGAGAGCTTTAGATTAGTATTTTTGATATAAGAATAAATTGCTTCATTAATATTGGAGGATTTTTTGAAATTGATCTTAAACTTTTCTCATTCTTGCTCAAATCTCAATGTATTGATGAAATCATAAGATTGAGTTATTTTGGAAAGCTTCTTTTAATTTAAACATTAAGAACTCAAATGTTTGGACACAATGTGGCCATTTGATCATGATCTTTTATAAACCAAAATCCAAACCTAAAGAAGATTTATTTATTGATTGCTTCGAACAGTGGTGCCAGAAATGGCTTAGAACATTTTTTCCTTGGCACGTAATAGTGTTAACCCATTCGTAGAATTTTATGATTTTTTGACGCCACACTAGTGTGCCCCGGCATCCAAGCTTTTAAATCATTGCTGTCCTTAGAATTCAGAAAAGTTAAGTTTAAAGCTAGTGAAAAGCAAGTTTAAATGAATTCAGCTTTGCTATTAGCTTGCTTAAAACTAACCTAGCTTGAACTTGATAAAGAAATATTTAAAAAAAGGTAATAAAAATCATAGCTTTGCATAGAACATCTATAAATCTCATCAAAATATCAAACATCAATAAGCATCAATCTAAGCACATTTGTGTAATTCATGTAAGTCGCATGTTTGATTTTTAATTCTAGCCTTAATCTTAAAATTCATCATTTAAATCCTCTAAGAATTAAACTTCATCATTAAAGTTAAATTTTCTTCACTTTTTTTTTGTTTTATTTATATTTAAATTTTTCTTGTAAAAGTACACTCTAAAAGTTTTAAAGGAGATCCATTTTTCAATTTTTTTTGTTCAATTTATTTTACTAAGATTTTTCATTTTAAATGAAAAAAATTATAAATTTTTTTATTTAACTTAAATTTTAAGAATGAAAAAAAAGAGAATAAACTTAAGCTGAAAATTGAAACTTTTTTCATTAATAATAAAAAAAATATATTTAACAACCTAGCAACTTAGAAAAATGTATGTCCGTATGTAATTTATTACATTTTTTTTCATTATTGATGATATTTCTTTTTTCTAATTTAACTTTACATTTTCCATAATAAAATTAATTGGCAGTTTCATCGTTTCCGAAAGTTTCTTATATCATTGTTTTTATTTATTTTACTTTAACATTAACTTTTTTTTGGAGCATTTGGAAGTATAGCACTTGATATATTTGTTGTATATTCAATTATCTTTTAAAGAATGTTGAAATTTTCATTATTTTACATGTTTTTTAATCTCACATTATGCAGAAAAATAATCTGGTGCACATTTTTTGCTGTTGTTGTTGTCGTTGTTGCTATTTTTGTTGTGTGTTTTTTTAAAACCTTGGAATAAGGAATTGTAATGTTATGTGAACAATGGATGGAAAATTTAAAATGGATTGGAATTTATTTCATTTTCACTCAATTCAACTTTTTCTGTTTGTGTCGTTCTTTGAATCAAGGTGTGAGCACTTTTTTGGGACGAGGTTTTGATGAATTTTTTTGGTGAAATTTTTGCAATAAAGTTTGAGATTTCTTAGGATATTCTGGCTTATGGCAATATAATAAATATACCAAAATGAGGTCTGAGAGGGGTCTACGTCTACTACTGTAACCATGTTTCTATGCGCAGCTTAGGTTCTAAGGTTTCAGCTTTAAGAGTAAGATTTATTCTGGCTTGATGCTAGTTTAACATGAAAACCTAATTTTACTGCGGCTAAACACCAACTTAATGGCATAGGCTAATGCTCGATTTTATCGCTCGTGATTTATTTTTAGGGAAGGTTTTGAGGTTCTCATGGTATGTGTGAAGTCAGCGGAAACAGGTTTTTTATGATCTAGTTGTAACTTTGTAAGAACTACGTTCATATTACGTCCATCTATGTCCCTGATTTAAATGTTTATGTATTCGATTTATCCTTGCACATGGTACTCGATGATTAATCCTTTGACCAAATCAAGCTTACAAAGATAGCTTGATGTGCATGAAAACCTCAAATCCTCAATTTTTACCAACATTTCACTAAAAGTTCACCACCTTTTCCTCTCAAAATTGTCACACCTTGACTTTTTTGCATACATTTTTCATTTAAAGATAGAAAGAGATATAAAGAAATTTTTTGGGGTAGCAGGTGAAATGTATTATTAAATGTGCCCCTAAAACTGGCCTAAATATAAAATTGACTGGAAAATTGATACTCATACGTAATAATACAGGTATCAACTAGATGCCGAAAAATAAAATAAAATTTTTAATAAAAAAATAAGAGACTTAAAAAATTATTCTTAATAATCTTTTTTTAAACATTTTTTTGTAATTGAAAAATTCTCACTTTAAAAACTGTCCCGTGAACACGAACTTTTGTTTGTTTTGTATTTTTTTTTCTTGATATTATGCAAATTTTAATGTCATACATTATTTAGTTTATCTCTTAATTCTCATTTACATATTATGTGCTTATATTCTTTTCGATTTTATTTTCATTTATTTTTATTTATATATTTATATATATTTATAATTTTTGGACGGTATTCATATATGAACATAAACCGATCTTTTTTTTATATTCGCAACAGAAACTAATTTTTTGGCATAAATAAAATTGAAATAAATAAATATAAATATTATTTGATAACGCGGAATCTACGGAAAAATCGAATTTTTTTTTTATAAAAATAATATTATGAGGGAAATTTGAACATATAATCGAACTAAACACACAACAACAGACAAAAAATGAGAAATAGAGGAAGCATAGAATTATCGAAACTGAAAATGAATTGAGAACATAAGAGGATTTTAATGTAGGCATAAAAGTTTACATAGAATTTTTTTTTCAAATTTAAATACATATTGGGGTACGTTTGAAAATGATGTTTTGGGTAAATTAGGATTTTTTGACGTTACGCACCATTTTTGTTTGATTTTTAAATCAGACAATTTTTTTGTTATGTCAGAGATCCTCTTAAGTCTTTATAAAATTAAAGCAAGTCCAACTTTTGAGTTGAAACTTCTTTAACTTCTAGTACGGACTTAAAGAATTGTCTATTTTTACTATATCAACATTCCATAGGATAATTAGTATATTAATCCCAGAAAGCACAAGTCGGTTAATCGAATAGAAATCCAGCACTAAGCATGATTCTGACTAGCTTCGATTTAAATCAAGCATCATGCTAGAGTCACACCAGTTTGGTGCCGGATTTCTTATCGATTAACCGACTTGTGCTAGTAGAAAATAAAAGACAATTTTGGCTATTTTGGATGCTCATAGTCATCAGATAGGTTTACTAAATTGATGATGATTAGTTCCTATTGATCCACTGTGAATCGTAGGGCGTTAATAAAGCGGTTGAACAAGCTTCTGGTTTAATAAATTGAGTTCATATAAAATTCGATTCGATTTCAGGATCAACAGCTGGTTTCTCGGTTTAACCTTTGGACACACTTAAGCATTTTCTAATCTGAAGTATAAATAAGTGCTCAATTGGTTAAATCTAAGAAATCAGCCGTAGATCTTGAAATCGATTCAAATTATGGATGGACTCAAGATTAGAGCACGTCTCCACATGTTTTAATATATAAATCAGTACCGATCTAGTATATAAGTTTTTAGCAGTGCTGAAGGTCTGAATCCACGTCAGTCCAGTTGATAAAAACTCAAAAAAATCCAATTTCTTATGAGACATCATTTCCAAATAACCCCCAAAAACGAAAAATCATATTCATACGTACAAAAAAAAAATTCATCGCGCAATTGAATTTTTTTTCCATTATTTTTTTCTCTGTTATTTTGATAATCATTCCGATTAATAAATATTATGGGTTTTTTTATTATAATTATTTGAATTCCTTTTTTATTTGCGTGCTAAAAAAGTTTAGATTTTATGCTTGTTTATGGTTGTATGTGTATCAGTTTTTTTTATAAGTTCTGTCTCATTTATGAAGGCATAAAGTGAGCTGTGTGTTCTGTTTATTTTTATGTGTGGTTCGTGTGTGTATGTGTGTATGTCCTGGGGATTTTTTTTTATTTTTTTGAGTGGAAAAGGATGATATGGGAACATTAAATTTATTTAAAATATCCTTTTGTGTGTACATATTGGTTTAAATTTTATTTTCATATTTAAACTATAGGTTTTTAGTTGTTGTGAAAAAAACACATATCATTAAAACTGATCAAATAGTTTCTTTTTAGTCTTTTGATTTTTTTTTTATATTTTCATTTTTAATTTTTTTGTGTGATTTTTTTTGGTTGTTTTTTCTTTTGTTTGTTGAAAATTATTGAACTTAATAATTAAAAATAAATGGATGAAAAAATATTTCAATTTTTATTTGTCCTGATGCTGGTGCAGAAGTTTGGGAGCAGCTACCCATCAGTATGGTGGTAAGGAGTTTGAGCTAGAACTATTAATACTGCAAGCTTTCTAAGTTTTAATGCTGAATTGTGATTTTGCTAAGATTCAATGAAATTAGCATTGCCTTTCAAATCTTCAAGAATTCCATCGAAATCATTAAAATCATTTTCGACAGAAATTCAGCAAAATTAAATTTTCCTTGTCGACTTTATAGTCAGTTCTATTAATTCGAAATAAAATCTTCATCCAAAGTATCTCAATTGGTCAAATCAAACAAAATGACAGACAATCTTACTTCAATGGCTTACTTAAAGTGATTTATGTCTAACTGGACCACCATTTTTATGAGATTAACGAGAGATTGATTGGAGTCCTCTTATGATAATTGAGAGGAACTGTTTCAAATAATTCATAAGAGGACAATTCATGGCTATCAGTAAGAAGTCATTTAAATACTCATACTTAGATTTGATTTCAAGAATCTCAATTCAATTGATACTGTCAAGATATTCTGAATTCTGAGATAACTTGCTTTGTGGTTTGAAGATTAATAGAGACAATTAGGATTATTTTTTGATAGTGTTGTCCAAGCAAGCAAATGCTGTTCATGCTGTTTCGTACTCAGTGAACTCATAATGACACCACTGAGCATGTTTTTAGAATTATGTTCCTTATAAAATAAATTTGATTAATTTTTTGAGCTTTAATATTTAAGTTGCAACTGTTTTTGAAGCTTTTGAGTCTTAATCCACCTTCTTTGATTAATATTGGGGCTCCTTTAAGTAGGAAAACTTGGTTATAATCGTTTTGAAGGATTCAATTCTCTAGGATCTCCTAGAGCAACAAAAAGCTTGATCTGTGATTTACCTTCAAATAATTATCAAGCTAAGATCAGAATCTTTGTAGATTAAGGGTACATTGTGCCTATAAGATCAATGACACAACAGATGATCAGCTTACCCAAATATTACAATTCGGTTAATCGAATAGAAATCTGACACCAATCTCGTGTAACTCTGACATAGTGCTGGATTTGATTTGAGTCCAGCACCATCCCTGAGTCACTCTGGATTGGTGTCGAATTTCTATTCGATTAACCATCTTGTGCCATTCGAGTCAGCTCTGAATGTGATCCAAATTCATGATATTTCATTGTCATGCCAACCAAATGTTGGTGCATTCGATATAGCAGCAAAATTAATCGATTTTAAGTTCATTACCAATCATTTAAAAGCAACAATACGCAATCAATTATTAAATGATCACTTTATTGCTATTTTCCTCCATCCCTTAATTTCCCTCTAACACCAAATCCTGCATCAACTCGGGACACATCGCTCAATTTAGTCTATTTAAAAAATTCATTATTTTTTCAACTAACAACAAAAAAATTTGTTCATTTTAAAAAGAGTATAAATTTTTTTTGCCAAAATCATCAACAACATATTAATATCTATTGCAATTTAACAATAATTCCATTTTATGTTTTGTTATTTTCTGTCGACTTTTTTTTCGTTCTTGATTCCTATTGCATAAAATTGAATTGCGCGATTTCATCATGTAGAGGGGTAGGGTTGTGAAATGTAATCATTATTTGCATTAGACTGTTTCATGATTTTCTTTTATTCTTCATCATCATTATAATTTATTTAAAGATATAAACATACATAAATGATTTTTGTGTGTAGAACATTTATCGCACTTATCTGCAAAACAGTGAATTAGAAACCAACTTGTAGATAGTCATATAGTAAAGTGTGGATTAATTAAAAAAAATAATAAAAATAGATTTATCAACAAAAAAGAAATAGATTTTAAGCAATAGAAATTAAAATAATAATAATAATAATAGAAATCTAGTAATACCCCCAATATCAAGCATCTTGTATATCCCCTTTGAGTCCAGGTACACGATGATGTTGATTATTATTCAATCGGTTAGCTAAATCTCCCATTACATCACGAAATATAATACTATCTATATTTTCACCTAGCATATAGAGTAGAAACCAATCGCCCATCTTCGATCTTCGGACGATTATTTCTATGGCATCTCGACGTACTAGTCTGTGACGGATTAAATTAATGGTAATAAAGAAAATACATTAGTATTCTTAACTTTGTGAGTACGGGAGATATTATTTATGCATCATTTTATTTCCGAGCAGCACAAATACGCCCGAGCAACGAAAATGTTCAATTTGAAGAACTGGCGATGTGGTATTGCTATATTATTCAGCACGTACTAAAAAACTGGCAGCTACATGGTAGCCATTGGATTTAAAAGCATAGTAACGCCACAGCGTCACGTCCTCATCTTGAATTTTTTTGTCACTCGGGTTGCGATTGATATTTTGAATAACGTAGAGTTTGGAGATTTCATTGGATGGATAGACATTCTGTCAACCTTATTAGCAGCTTCGGCTGAAGCATGCGATTGACAGACCAAAAACTGCGAGTTCAAATCTCGCATACGAGAAGTTTTGATGCGAAGATTCATTTTTCTGTTATATATTCAAAAATTATAAATGGATTTAAAAAACTTAAAATTTTAATGATTATTACAGTATTGGGGACGTAAGGGTGAGTTTGTTTGTTGCAGTTTTATGACTTTTGATATAATCCTCAATGTAAGTTTGTTGTACCTTTTTAGCAGGAGCATAGTCAAGGGGGGAGGGTCCTTAGGTACCCGGTTTCCTCTTACTTGTGATTTAAATTTTATGTAAATTTTTATTTAAATTTCAAATATGTTTTCAAATGCAAATAATCAACAAAATAAATTCATTTTAGGTAATGACATTTAATATTCCTACCTTTGGACCTTTATTCACTTATTACGTTCTTGAATAATGAACCCCGAATAGCACAAGTCGATTGATCGAATATAAATCCTGCGCCCAGCAGGTATGACACTGACTTCGATTTAAATCCAGCATCATATTCTGATTGATTAACCGACTTGTGCTATTCAGGAACATTAATTTAGTAAAAGTGGTGAAATATAACATAAAGAAAGAATAATATGAAAATATGTTTAAATCTCATTTGTCCCACCATCCAAACCAGAGCTTGAAGTCGATGAAATTTTGCAGGAGTCCACCATACAAAATCGATAAAAATCTTGAGTCGACTTCAAGTTCTGCGCCTATACGTAATAAATGAACGGTCGATAGCAATAAATAAAAGTGCTTCTTATTAAGAAGCTTCGTTTCATATTAAATTAAACCCAATTTTCGAAACCCCTTTTAAAAATAATGTTTGGCTACGCTCCTGCCTTTTAGGCATCTCAAATGATTGCACTTTGCTTTGCAAGAAAATGAACGATTCAAAACAAATGTGTAGAACTGAACAGCACCCTTGATTAAGATATTTGAGAAATTTCTTGGATTTAAAGGCTACTGATTATGACAACTTAGCTGTCATTAGCTTGCTTACTGAAAATACTGAAGTAATCTTTAAAAAATGTACTGCAAGATTTTTTAAAATCCAATTTTCTAATTTAAAACTTCAGTAATCCCAAAGTCCACAAGAAAATATCCCTCTCTAATCCCCAATAAAATAGTCCTTCAATGTGCCGCTCGGGATCAATTTATCTCATTTGTTGAAGAGCTTCAGTACAGCACAAATTATTATCTAAATCACCCGACCACCAACAGTCACTACAAATTAATAATTCAAGATGAATCATTAATGTCGCCCCAAGAAATGAGATTAACTGAATTTTGATGATGTCATAAAGTGATAAAAATACGGAAATTATGGCTCACCTAAACCTTAATCTTAATAAATACACCCTCATGCGAGGCGAAAATATTATGACTATTCTATACATTACAGTTAATGATGTCAAAATTGTTAGCAAAATGAACCAGAACCACAGAAATATGTAGATCTTTTCATTCACCTAGATTGTGATGGAATTAATGAAAATAATAATTAGTAATGATGTTTTTAAAGTCTGAGAGCCGGTCCAAAATTTTAATATTTACCACATTAAGAGGAAGAATACATATGGCTGTAAAATTAATAAAAAGTCATGATTCAAAGCATTTAAAAAATGAGATTTTATGATTTTTTTTTCTCAATTCCTTGTTACTCACCGTCGTGTCGTTCAACCTAGTTTGTGTGTGGAAATTCCATATGGAAATTACAAAAATAATAAGAAAGAAAGGAAAAGTCACGTTTAGTAAGAAAAAATTTTAATTTAATTTCAGCAGCTGTGAATTGTGCCACAAAAATCTAAAAATAAAATGTCAAAAAAAAAATAAAATTCTCAACTGACCTCGCCACTGACACCATATTTATAGAATGTACATTTAGTCATACGTGGAAATATATATATCATCGGATCCATCCGATCTTCCTGATCCGCTTCCATATGTTTTATCACATCAAGGCCAAATGTCATGAACTCTCCATCGAAGAATTTGTTCATTAAGAACATTTGACCTAAAACATAAGGCGTGCGAGAATGGCAATGAAACGAGAAAGAAATGAGATGAAAGAATGGGATTAATAAAAATCAAAGAAGATTTTCCTCCTTATTATATTATCTGTCTATATTTTATTGAGCAATCGGAGAAAATATTATTGATATTTGGAGATTCTTTTTCGGTTCTTGTGGGGATTTTGTGTGATTTTTTTTTTATAATTTTTATTTAAGTTTTAAGATTTATGGACATAATAATCAAAGATTTTATTCAAATCACTTATGACGTTCACAAAAAAATAATGATTTTAAGACCCCCGTACCATTCTGCCATGAAATTATCATCAAGGGCAATCCCAGCCCTTGATAAAAAAAATTGGATGTCACAAACTTCTTGACTTCGCTCTCCTATCAAAGTTTGTCACAATTTTCAAACAACCCCCCCCCCCCCCTGGTCTTAATAAGTGAAAATCAATTTGGGGTCATTCACTTATTACGTCTATCATTTAGGGGGAGGGGCTCCAATAACATTTGTGACACATTATGACAAGGGGGGGAGGGGGTTCAGGAAATTTGTGACATCCAATATTTTAATCCGAAAATTATAATTTTTTGTGTCTTGGATTGGACATCACAAGGGGGGGGGGGAGGGGGTGTTGACATCTGCGACAGTTTTGTAACAGACGGGGGAGAGGAGTTTAAAAATTAAGTTTTTTGCTTTGCTACATATTTTTTAAATATTCAAAGTCCATTCTCCCCCCTCCCACTTAATAATTCAACGAAAAAAAATTCTCCACCCATAAAAAATCCCCCCAAAATCCAACCTAAGGATCGTGTTGAAAGAAAAGTAGAGCAAACATATTGAGCATCACATTCATTACATCCATGATTTTCATCACATTGAATTTACGTTAATATTAACATTGATATTTTAATTATAGAATATTGCATGTGAAATTGCCAAAATTTATTTATAGACGATGGCATGAGAAGGACGAGGGAAACTGCATGCGATGATTTTTGGACATTTACAAGTTTAATTTATTTTCTGTTCAATCAAATGGAAGATTTAATGTGCATTTATTGATTTTGCAAGAGCACGGAATAAAAGTTTAAATGGAAATTGTGGAAATAAAAGTGTGAATAATTTGAAAATGTAAAACTCCAATTTTTTGGAATAGAAGTTGGGTATGCTGCAGTTTTGGGGGGAAAACATTATTATTTATGAAGGATGTGCCTCAAAAAATAGTGAGATTCTTCGCTTTAATGTAATGCTCTACTTTTTCCTCACACATAACTCCAAATTTGCATACTTCATTATTTAAATCACAATCTAGATATCTTGCAGACTACTGCAGAGCTTAAGCTGCATATACCGTAGAAAAATAAATTTATTTATGCATTTTTTATGCTTCATAGTGTCCGAAAAAATAATAATAATAAAGTACATATAATGGATTATTTTTTTCATCTCACTTACCTATAACATTTATAAGCGATAGCAGCTCACATCCAAAATATCTGTACGCCCACCTGTATATTTTCATAAATTTGTTTTTAATTTAAAAAAATTTGAAATTCAATAATCGATTAACATTTAATTTCTAAATTAGGAATTAGGCATTTCAAATTGGTAATTATTAATTATTTAACATTTTTGATGGGAATTTTTTATCAAAAAATTATTAAAATTATGATGAACATTTAGAAAATTTAAATGACAAAATTATCAAAATTAAAAGTAATGAATAATTTTACCAGTTATGAAACCGAAGGTTGTCCCATAAATAATCTAATAATAATTTCTTTTTCTGCTTTTTCTCGATCTCCGAACATATTCCAATGTCAAGATCCATCATGAGCGCGTGAATTTTTCCACCCTCCCATGACTTCCACAACCATCTTGGTGCGTAAAAGAGAATACTCTGAAAATGACAAGCAAATTGAGAGATAAAGAATTAAATTTCAAATAAATTTAATATAAAATCATTTCAAGATGTTAAGTTTTGTTGGTTACGGGATGAAATGTGTTCAAGTATCGACTCAAGTGAAATTTGAACACACTTCTCGAATCTCATTTGACCATGCTCCATGTGCTGTATATGTTTTTGATTCATAAATTACTAGCTTAATTTGAATTCTTATAAAATAAATCTTTGTTATTTTTTGCTTTACAAATAGAAGTGATTTTTTTTCATTTGTATGAATATGTCATGAATTTCTCATATGGTAAATATTATTCTTAAAACTATGGATATGTCAAGTAAATGAATGGAATGTTTTATTATTTTTTAAATTAATTGAATTTTTTTAAACGAATCTTCAATGTTTGAGAACGATTTGTAATTAAAATTTATGGCGTTTATAGTCTTATGACGTCCAACTAAGGTTGAGGAAGTGAAGAGAAGGAACTCAGATGCTATATGATCAGTCTTTGGCTCCATTTGGCTTCTTTTTTGAAGCCACATAGATTTGGGAATTTAAATATGGATTCCATCTCGAATATTTTATGTTGCTTTAAGGAATGAGCATCATTACTCTTCTATAAATTGTAGATTAATACCCATTAAGCATACGGTGTAGAAAAAGGTGAAAATCATGACCAGAAGCGTGTTTCTCTGTTTATACCTACAACTACACTTGTACTTGTATATATTCTATACTTTAACAAAGAAGAGGTGTAGCTGAATGCCAAGAAACAACACCAAGGTACAAGAATGCCGTTGAGCTTTTTTCCACAGAATCTGCATCCAAGACAGTTTTGTGTCAATAATTTTCATATCTTTTCTACACCGTTTGTCATTTGGGTATATATAAATCATAACAGGGGTGTACCCAAAAGGTCTGATCCCCATAATAATTTTGAACATTTTTTTTGCTGCAGTTTAGAACTCTTAAGGTGGTTCAGACCCTCTTGGCTACGACTCTGATATGACAAAACCTGAGACTTACAACTCCATGATGTGATCAAGACTTGATCAAATAACCTAGATTATGTTTTATACAAATCCTAATGTGCATCAAAGGTTATTAATTATTGTAAAATCTTAATACTAAGTGCAGGTATGAAAAATTATTCCTGCATAATTCCAGCTTGATGTCGATTCTAAACAAGATTTGAACTCTAATCCAGCATCAAGCTGACACCAAAACAGTTAAAAATTCATGTTAAACTCATAAAATTGACGGCTAAGTTCATAAATAATTCAGCATCTTCCATATCATTTAATCAACACTACCTAAACCTCCATAAAAAATACCTTCAATTCCCCAACAATCTTTAACATTATATTCAATTGAATTCCAAATCATAAAAAGTAAAAGGATCGCTCAAATCTCATTTCATTCAATAAATGAATTAAAGTAAGTAGGAATTAAGTACCAACAAAATTTAACAAGGTAGACAATAAAGTGCCAATTTTATAGAACATAAAACAATTACAAAGACATTTTTTTATAGTCACTCTTTTCTGAAAAATTCAAGCAAAAAATAATCTTTCGGATGAAAATTTTTCACGGCTAATAATTCCTCAGAGTGTAATTTGTTCAGGAATATTAAAAAATAATTTAGAAGACGAGACATGAACAATTATAGAGTAATAGCCTTTCAAGGTAGAATGTGGGTGGGATGACAAATGATGTTTTCATGTTCATCTGGTCGACATTCTTAAATTTCCTTTTGTTGTCACAATAGTCGACTCAGAGGTTAAGGATGGCAATGTGGGATCACGATTTAATTTATTGTTGCAGAAATTTTGATGATTTTTGTGCAAAAATGTGAAAAATAATTTTTTTGGGAAAATATAATTTAAAAAAATAACTTTAAAAGAATTTTAAAATATAAATTTAAAAGAATTTAAAATTATAATTTTAAAAGATTTTAAAAATATAATTTTAAAATAATTTAAAATTATAATTTTAAAAGAATTTAAAATAATAATTTTAAAAACATTTAAAAAAATTTATCATTATTTGTGTTGTCACAAAAGTCGACTCAGAGGTTAAGGATGGCAATGTGGGATCACGATTTAATTTATTGTTGCAGAAATTAAGATGATTTTTGTGCAAAAATGTGAAAAATAATTTTTTGGGAAAATATAATTTAAAAAAAATAACTTTAGAAGAATTTAAAAATATAATTTTAAAAGAATTTAAAATTATAATTTTAAAAGATTTTAAAAATATAATTTTAAAATAATTTAAAATTATAATTTTAAAAGAATTTAAAATAATAATTTTAAAAACATTTAAAAAAATTTATAAAAATTTTAAAATATCTACAAAAATTTTAGAAAAAAAATTATTTGTCAACCACAAATGACTCAATTTCCCAAAATAAATTACAGAGGTTGCTCTCGCTAAGTCCGATGAAAAATCATTCAAAACCGCTGAATCTCAAAAAAACCAGCAGCGAGAATAAATAAAACATGAAGATGTAAAAAAATTTATTTCCGCTTTGTCATTAACTTTATAATGAGATTAAAGAATGAAAACTACAACAAAAAATTTTTATGCCACGCGATTTTTTACAAGAATAGCAAAATGAAATACAATCCAGAAAAAAAGCGAAATTAATCTTACGTAGAGATATTTAGTTTCATTCGCATGCGAATGAGTTTGTTTGAGAGAGACAAGAAAAAAGAGCGAAAAAAATGAAAAATGACTGAAGATATGCAAAATATATAAAAAAAATATTTTAAAAATAAACGACGAAAAAATATTAACAATGAAAAATTTCTGATGATAAATATTTCTGCTCCGTTTGCTGATAGTTTAATGTGACAAATATTTTCGTTTTTAAAACATTTTATCTATTATTTTCCGTTTATTTTCATTATATCGTCTCTACTCTTTTTTGGTGGCACTCATCTGGTAGCTTGAATTAAGTGCGACGGGGCTCGATATGCGAACAAAAAAAAATCCGGATGCACTGAATAACATTTTGTGACTCATAAAAAAGATGAGAGGAAAGTATGATAAGCTTTTGGGGCTCGTTGAGTTTTTTGTGATGCTAAATACAATTTTCTAGTATTAGAGCTAACAGGCAGCATGTGAGGGAGGTTATGTGGACTAAAATGTATTTAATCGATCAGAAATCCTGCACTAAGCTGGTTTGGCTCTGGCTAGGTGCTGTATTTAAAAAGAAGCCAGAACCATCTTTCATCAGCCAGCTTTTCAACGGATTTCTATTCGATTACCGGCTTGTGCTATTCTGATAAGTTTTATAGACTACAATTTGAATTATAAGTGAATGGAGGCTGTAATAAATTGAATTGGTATTTTTTGATATCAACAGAGATTTTTTTAACGTCGAGATGCAGTCTAGATGTAAGTTTTCATAATTTTAAGTGATTTTTGACATTCGAGCATCTTAACTTGTTTTTGTGAGATGGTTTATTGGTAACTGGACTCGAGTTACATCACATTCTAGGCAGCAACGTAGTTGAGCATCTTACCAAAACTCTAATAATCATAATTAATACTATTTCATCTGTATCTTGGAAATCAAACCTTAGACAACATCAACATTCCCTTACGTAACATCCAACCAGCTCCATTTTCAAATTGCATTCAATTTTAAAAAAAATTCAGCAATATTTTTTTACAACATGAATAAAAAAAAATCAAGTAATTTCCTTGCATAAAATATGCACGTCATTAAAATTCAGTAACATTTAACAACCAGAATAATTTTTTAAAGTCTCTTTGGCACCTTGAAAGCACTTTAAATTCCCTTAAAATTTACGATGCTAAAATTTCCATGTTTTTCACATTTTACTGTCTCATATTTTCTTCAATTCTCATGGGCGCAATCTTCCATGACAACATTGTAAATTCCTAATAATTCCTTTATGTACGAAATTATATCATCAAAAAAGAATTTTTAAATCTATAAAAATTCTTTTAAGCTGAATTTTTATTTTTCGTTGAATTCTTTTATGAGTTTTTTGTTGAGGTATTTTTTTGGTGGAATTAACTTTGGTGACACAATTCTGAAAAATTATTTTTTTTGGTTTAAATTCCTGATTCATAAATTTGGTGGAATTGTTGCATCTTAAGGTAGATTTTCCTCTATTAAGGCAACTTAATAATAATAATAATTATGTGTGAAGGGCCCAGCCTTTCAGCTAAAGGCACTGCGATTCAATACAAGACAAATTAGTCGCAGCACAAAATTGTGTAAAATGTCTCTGAAAATCTATCCGATGTCATTAAAAGTCTCAAATATCAATTTTCTATTTAACAAAATTCAACAAAATTACATCATCCACCCCCCCCCCCCCCCCTTCCCCCTCACATCTATCTTTTTCCCTATTATAAATATGAATTATTTAAATTTTTAATGTTCCACTAAATGCGTTATGAAGATTCTTGAAGATATATTATGTCGCTTACTTTAATTTATTGTTCAGGCCTTTGCCATCGCAAAAAAAATAATATTCATATAAATGACTATTTATCACAAAGATTTCTTAAAAAATAATAATCTAACAATAAATCTTGTTCCAGTGAATTGTTTATTTCTTTAATTTTCAATTTGCTTGGCTGTCGCTTTTCAAAATTATGGTCATGTGAAGATAAAGTGTTGGAATTATGGGAAATTTATGATGAATAGTTTTTGAGTTAATTTTTCAATTATGTTTGATGAGAATTATGGTGAATTTTGTGAATTGGGTTAGATTTTGAATAAATTTGATGGCTTTTTGAACTTCATAAAGTTAGAGCTTTTAAAAATTAAAATAGACATTTTTTCGACATAATCTCAATTCAAACTAGTCATATACAATTATCTGAGAGATTAAGAACCTCTTAAGAACCCCTTAATTAAAAATGTTTGAAGGGCCCAGCCTTTCAGCTGGAAGCACTGTGATTCAATTCGTAAAGAATCTATTGAACCACACCCTTTAGACCTACAGTTTATAGT